CAGGGAGACTGAGGCTGCAGTCAGCCATGATCTTGCCACTGAACTCCAGCCTGGGCAAAAAAGTGAGACCCTGCCTCAAAAAAAGTTTTTTTAATAACTGTCATACAGATTCTCAATGAGATAAAAGAAAACACATGTCAACAATTAAATGAAATAAAGAAAATAATGCATGAACAAAATGAGAATATAAAACAAAAGAGAAACTATTTTTAAAAAGAACCAAACAAATTCTGGCACTGAAAAATACAACTGAACTAAAAAAAAATTACTACAGACGTTCACCAGCAGACTTGATCAGGCAAAAAAAAAAAAAAAAAAAGAATCAGCAAACTGGAAGACAGGTCATCCGAAATATCATCAAGTCAGAGGAGCAAAAAGATAAAAAGAATGAAGACGAGTGAAGAGTGCTTGGGGAACTTATGGGACATAATATTTGGATCTGTGTCCCCACCCAAATTTCATGTTGAATTATAATCCTCAATGTTGGAGGTGGGGCGTGGTGGGAGGTGATTGGATCATGGAGGTGGAGTTCTCATGAATGGTCTAGCACCATACCTTCTGTGCTGTTCTCATGATAGGAGTGAGTGACTTATCATGAGATATGGTTGTTTAAAAGTATGTAGCACCTCCTCATTCTCTCTCTCAGTCTTGCTCCTGCCATGTAAGACTCCTGCTCCTGCTTTGCCTTCCACCATGATTGTAAGTTTCTTGAGGCCTCCCCAGAAGCAGATGCTGCCATGCTTCCTGTACAGCCTGTAGAACTGTGAGTCAATGTAACCTGTTTTCTTTATAAATATCAAGTCTCAGGCATTTCTTTATAGCAGTACAAGAACAGACTAATACAGAAAACTGGTACCAAGAGTGGGGCATTGCTATAAAGATACTTAAAAATGTGGAAGTGGCTTTTTATCTGGGTAATAAGCAGAGGTTGGAAGAGTGTAGAGGGCTCAGAAGAAGACAGAAAGATGAAGGAAAACTTGAAACTTCTCAGTGACTTTTTAAATTGTGATCAAAATTCTGATAGTGAGGTGGACAATGAAGTCCAGGTTGAGGAAGTCTCAGATGGAAATGAGCAACTTATTGGGAACTGGAGCAAATATCACTTTTACTATGCTTTAACAAAGAGACTGGCTAAATTGTGCCCCTGCTCTAGGAATCTGTGGAACTTTGAACTTGAGAGAGATGATTTAAGGTATCTGGCCAGAGAAATTTCTAAGCAGCAAAGCATTCAAGATGTGGTCTGCCTGCTTCTAACAACCTATGCTTATACGTGTGAAAAAAGAAATGACCTGTATTAGCCCATTTTCGGGCTGCTGATAAAGACATACCAGAGACATACCCTCTTTAATTTACAAAATAAAGAGGTTTAATTGGACTCACAGTTCCATGTGGCTAGGAGGCCTCACAATCATGGCAGAAGGCAAGGAGGAGCAAGTCACATCTTACGTGGATGGTGGCAGGCTGAGAGAGCTTGTGCAGGGAAACTCCTGGTTTTAAAACCATCAGATCTCATGAGACTCACTCACCACCAGGAGAACAGCACAAGAAAGAACTGTTACCACAATCCAACCACCTCCTACCAGGTCCCTCCCACAACATGTGGGAATTATGTGAGTTACTATTCAAGATGAGATCTGGGTGAAGAGACAGCCAAACCACATCATGATCTGAAACTGGAATTTATATTTAACAGGGAAGTAGAGTGTAAGTTTGGAAAATTTGCAGCTTGGCCATATGGTAGAAAATAAAAGCCTATTTTCAGGGGTAGAAATCAAGTGGGCTGAAGAAATTTACAAAGAAAGCCTCAGAGGCATTTCAGAGACCTTCTCGTCAGCTCTTCTCATCACAGGCCCAGAGACCTAGGAGGACTGAATGGTTTCATGGATCAGGTCCAGGGCCCACTTCCCTGTGCAACCTGGGGACATTGCTCCCTGTTTTCCAGCTGCTCCAGCTCCAGTTGTGGCTCAAAGGGGCCCATGTACAGCTCAGGCTGCTGCTTCAGATAATGCAATCCATAAGCCTTGGTGGCTTCCACCTGGTGTTAAGCCTGTGGGTGCACAGAATGCAAGAATTGAGGCTTGGGAGCCTCCATCAAGATTTCAAAATATGCACTGAAAATCCTGGATCTCCAGGCAGAATCCTCCTGCAGAGTTGGAGCCCTCATGGAGAACCTCTATTGGGTCAGTACAGAGAGGAAACATGGGGTTGGAGTCCCCACACAGACTCTCCACTGGGGCACTGCCTAGTAGAGCAGTGAGAAGAGGGCCACCATCCTATTCACCTTAGAATGGTAGACCCACAGATAGATTGCATCTTCAGTATGGAGGAGCTGCAGGCACACAACTCCAGCCCATGAGAGCAGCCATGGGGGCTGAACCTTGCAAAGCCACAGAAGCAGAGCTGCCCAAGTCTTTGGGAGCCCAACCCTTGCAGCAATGCTGCAAGTATGTGAGACACAGATTCAAAGGAGATTATTTTAGAGCATTAAGATTTAATAACTGCCCTGTTGGGTTTCAGACTTGCATGGGGCCTGTAGCCCCTTTCTTTTGGTCTATTTCTCCCTTTTGGAATGGGAATATTTGCCCAATGCCTATACCCCCATTATATCTTGGGAGTAACTAACTTGTTTTTTGTTTCACTGGCTTATAGGTAGAAGGGACTAGTCTTGTCTCAGATGAGACTTTGGATTTTGGACATTTTAGTTAATGCTAGAATGAGTTAAGGCTTTGGGAGAACTGTTGGGAAGGCATAATTGAATTTTGCAATGTGAGAAGAACATGAGATTTGGGAGAGTCCAGGGGTGGAATGATATGGTTTTGATCTGTGTCCTCACCCAAATCTCATGTTAAATTGTAATCCCCAATGTTGAAGGTGGGGCCTTGTGGAAGGTGATTGGATCTTGGGGACAGAATTCTCATGAATGGTTTATCACCATCCCCTCAGTACTTTTCTCATGATAGTTAGGAGTGAATTATCATGAGATCTTGTTTAAAAGTGTGTAGCACCTCCTCATTCTCTCTCTTGGTCCTGCTCCTTTCATGTAAGATGTCTGTTCCCGCTTTGTCTTCTGCCATAATTGTAAGTTTTCTGAGGCTTCCCTAGAAGCAGATGCCACCATGCTTTCTGTACAGCCTGCCAAACCATCAGCTGATTAAACCTTTTTTCTTTATAAATTACCTAGTGTCAGGTATTTTTATAGAAATGTGAGAATGGCCTAATATAGGATGCTATCAAGTGACCAATATTCACATTATAGAATTTAAGAAGGAGAAAAGAGCAAGGATATAATGGCAGAAAACTTTCTAAATTTAAAGAAATAAATGGATATACAAATTTGACAAGCTCAAAAGACTCCAACTAGGATAAAACCAAAAAAGAACCCCACCAACATTCATTATAATCAAACTTTTTAAAGTCAAAGACAGAATCTTGAAAGCAGCAAGAGAAAAGCAATTCATCATATATAAGGGAACTGCCATAACATTATCAGTGGATTTCTCAGCAGAAACCTTTCATATCAGAAGGGAGTAGCATAATATATTCAAAGTAATAAAAGAAAAAAACCCTGCTAGCTAAGAATACCAGGTCTAGCAAAACCATCCCAATTAAATCAGAACAATTAAAATCAGAATCTCTGTGGGGCATTTTTTTTTTTTAAAAAAGCTTCCCCAGCAATTCTATTGTCAGTGAGTTGTAAATCACTGCTCAACAGAACCTCTTATGAAGCAAAAACATAAAGAAAAATAAGCCGGGCACAGTGGCTCACGCCTGTAATCCCAGCATTTTGGAAGGCAGAGGCGGACAGATCACCTGAGGTCAGGAGTTCAAGACCAGCCTTGGCAACATGGTGAAACCCCATCTCTACCAAAAACACAAAAATTAGCCGGGTATGGTGACACGTGCCTGTAATCTCAGCTACATGGTAGGCTGAAGCATGCGAATCACTTGAACCAGGGAGGCAGAGGTTGCAGTGAGCCAAGATCGTGCCACCGTACTCTAGCCTAGGTGACAGAGTGAGCCTCCATCTCAAAAAAAAAAAAAAAAAAAAAAAAAAAAAAGGGAAAAGCACACAAGTATACGGACATGGGGAATAAGTTAAAAATCAAAAGGACTCACTCACTACTTTCTAACATCTTTTACTTCTTGACCTTTCAAAACATCCAAAAATTAGTAATATTATAATCGGTGTCACAATCTTAACAGTTAAGAAAAAACATAAAATGAAGGCCTAGAAAGATCTTTGTTACTCATCTAGAATTATTTGGTATAACAGTATTTTCCAATGGAGGAAGACTATTGGATTTCAGGCATAAAACAATGCAGAAAAAAATCTCAAGGCATCACAGGGAGAGGGAGATAACTTCTGACTCTGGTTTCCCGTGTTTCAAGCCAGGAAGAGCAAGGGGAGAAAAATATCTGTCCATGGGAACAAGTAATCATGCTTCAAAGGACAATTTCATTTGAACCCATTAATTTCCTTTTCATGCAAAATTTCAAAGATAAAGCAACATAAAATATGGGGCCAAGGAAAGGGAGAAGGTCTTCAAGGAGAATTTGTGCCTTTAAGTTTTAACTGGTACAACAGTCCTTCAGCCTGGAGGTACTCAAAGACGAATCATGAAAAAGAAAAAAAACTTTATTTCAAGCAGGTTCAGTGATATATGTGTGTGCTACAGCAAAGGCTGGTTGTGGCAAAGTTTCAAACTGTATGATATGGGCTGGGCAAGGTGGCTCATGCCTGTAATCCCAGCACTTTGTGAGGCTGAGGTGGACTGATCACCCTGAGGTCAGGAGAGACCAGCCTGGCCAACATGCCAAAACCCAGTCTCTACTAGTAATACAAAAATTAGCTAGGTGTGGTGGCGTGAACCTGTAATCTCAGCTACTCGGGAGGCTGAGGCAGGAGAATCGCTTGAACCCGGGAGGCAGAGGTTGGGGATCACGCCACTGCACTCCAGCCTGGGCGACAGAGCCAGACTCAAAAACAAAAGAAAATGAAACAAACAAAAAAACCAAAACTGCATGATGTATAACTTTGACATTATGTGGGAATGCTTCACTTCTGTCAAAATGTAGATTCAATCCAACATTATGCCAATTTTTATATTAATTGTAGTCCCTAAGTTTTCATAACCAAAAAAAAAGAGAATAACTGTACAGTTACCTACTAAGGTAACGAACTGTGAAATCAATTCCCCAATATTGCTTTGAAAATAAACCCCTTGGTTGTTAAGAGGAATTCCAACTTCCAACTCCATCCAAATGTGTTATTTAACCGGTATTCTTCAGTCATCATCTACTGTTGGCTTGATTGTCACTCCTCTTCTTATCTGACCCCAACCAATTAAACGCCAGTGTTTTTCAACTCTTTGGCTAAGGGCAATTTTTTCTCCTACCTCTGTGCACACTGGATTGGTCAAAACAATTTTACCCAAATCGGCCTTGACAGCACTAACTCTCCCTCCTGTTGACAGGGATACTATGTTCACCATGAGCACTTCATTCTTAGACAGCTTTTGAACCTTTGCTGCTTTCTTGTCTCCTTCAGTGTGTACACCTAGAAGCCGTCGAAGCAGGAAATAGGAAATTTCCAATTCTGTGAATATCTCAGGTAAAGCTCCGACTGCACCAAGTACTTGCCCCACCATTCTGTCAGCCTGGCACAAAGTGGGGTCAATTTTTGTTCCAACTCCAATAAAACCGCCTGGAGCAGCATATTGCAGATCATTATGCTCTGCAAAAAGTGATACAATTTTGGAAAAGATTGGTTTACACATGAGTTTTCCTTCACTATCTTTGGAAACAATACCAGGTCTTACTTCTATCTCCTGGCCCACCTTTAATACTCCTTTTAGGATACTACCACCAGCTACACCTCCCTTAAGGTCATCAACTTCACAGCCAGGTTTGTTGACATCAAAAGATCTAATAACAATAAGCCGGGGCTCTGAAGTAAACTCTCTTGGGGGTACTGGAATTTTCTTTACTATGTACTCACAAACAACTTCAATGTTGTATTTCAACTGAGCCGAAATTGGAATAATGGGAGCACCCTCTGGTACTGTAGCTTGGACAAATGCAACGATCTGCTCGTATTGTTCTTTAGCCTGACTTTCTTTTACCAAATCAATTTTATTTTGTAGAATCAAAATATGCTTCAGTTTCATGATCTCTATAGCAGCCAGGTGTTCAGACGTCTGAGGCTGAGGACAAGATTCATTACCAGCTATCAACAGAAGAGCTGCATCCATCACTGCTGCACCATTCAGCATAGTAGCCATCAAAATATCGTGGCCAGGCTTAACAAAGGAAACATGTCTAATTTGAAGTTCCCTTTTGTCCCTGCAATGTCTGCAGGAAACTCATCAGGTGTACTGCTCCCACAAGATCTACAACATTCTGGCCGAGGGCAACTTGGGTCATCAAGTTTATAAATCTTAGCATTAGCATATCCAAGCTTGATTGTAATATTTCTTTCTAGTTCATTTTTGAACCTGATGGTGTGAACTCCAGAAATAGCTTTGATGACTGTGGATTTCCCATGAGCTACATGACCAATTGTACCTATATTAATTGTGGCTTGTCTGCTGATAATTTCGTGTGAAAGTGGCATCAACTTGGTAACATCCAACGTGGTGAGATCCTGACGCGAAAGATGCGGCTGCCCCAGAGTCACTCCAGCTTCTCCGCCCGCCATGTTGCCAGAAGAGCCCCTTGTGGGTTTTAAAACAATACTTCAGGACACAAGGAATGGAACGAGGGAAAGCGTCTGGAAACAACATGACTAACTGAACAACCTAGAATAACATTTTTGAAAGCTGTTTTGTAGAGCACTAATTCTTTGAGATGTTAATGTAAGTGAAAATTATGTAGTCTAGATTGGTAAATGGAAGATTCAGCACATATAAAAACTAAATTTCCTAACTGTGGAACATCTTAGAACTTTGTATTTTCTAATATGCATTCTTAATTTGTTGAGAGAAGACATGTATTCCTAAAGGTTATTTAATTACAGAAGCAGTTTTTATTTTCATAGAGCATCTATTAGCAATAATGTCATGAAGAACACATTTTGGCAACAATGATAGAGCATACAGAAACAAAAACCTGTTCAACTTAGTTTAAGCATGATCTTAATTAGACTGCAGAATAAAACAGTTTCAAATAAGTACTGGAAATAAGAGGCATCATTGCTAGTCAACAAATAAACACAACACATTCTTTTTAAAAATGAATACCATGGGAACAATCGCTGACTGATGTCCTTTACTGTATATGCAAATTCTAAGATACCTTCTTAGAACACAAAGGGTTCAATGCTTAGCATATGGCCGCCTTCGCATACAGTTGGCGTAAATAATTTTTAGTCCTGAGTGAACTACATGAGTTAATAAGAAACAAATTTTAACCTTCAAATATTCCACCAAGTCAGTCTTTCATAATTTGGAAGCCTAAAGCTTTCTTTAGGTGTCCCTCAAAGGAGCTATAAGATGCCTTCTAAATTCCAAAATTCTCATATCCAGTTTCAATGTGACACTTGAAAATTATGTAATGGTCTTTGGTAGTCATCAAAACTGTGGTTCCACTATTGAATCCTTTTTATTTTATTTTATTTTATTTTACTTATTTTTGTTGAGATGGAGTCTCGCTCTGTTGCCCAGGCTGGAGTGCAGTGGTGGGATCTCGGCTCACTGCAACCTCCACCTCCCAAGTTCAAGAGCGATTCTCCTGCCTCAGCCCCCTGAGTAGCTGGGACTACAGGTGTGCACCACCACGCCCAGCTAATTTCTGTATTTTTGGTAGAGACGGGGTTTCACTGCATTGGCCAGGCTGGTCTTGAACTCCTGACCTCAAGTGATCTGCCTGCCTCAGCATCCTAAAGTACTGGGATTTCAGGCATTAGCCATCGTGCCAGACCCCACTATTGAATCTTTATAGTCATTTTACCTTACAGTAGGCAGACTAACATTTTCAAAACAAATCAGGTTATATCTTCATTCCAACCCCTGAATTCAAAACTCTAATGACAGGTTGTTACACTCTCAATAAAATCTGCACTCCTTACTATGCATGGCCTGTGAGGGTCTACATAATATGGTCCTTGCTAACTTTCTGATTTCAACATCTACCTCTCCTTCCTCACTTAGTCCTCAAACACCCCTAACTTCTTTCTGACTCCAGACCTTTGTCTTCTACCTAAAATAGTCTCCTTTCATATCACCCTTTACATTACAAGCATCTTCCCACTTTTTCCTTTCATATTGGTGGGTCCCTCACCTTATTTTGGTTATTATCAAACTGCCATCTCCTCAGAGAAAGGCCTTCCTTAACCACTTTATTTAATATAGTACTTCTGTCATGCTCCAGCTTCTCACCCTCCATTTCCAGTTAATTTTCTTCATACCACTTATTTCTGACACATATTTTTGGCTGACTTTCTCTTACCCACTGAATATAAGCTCCCTAAGGCATGGGCATTCTCTGTTGTCTTATCTATCATATCCCATGCCTAGTACAACTCAAAATTTATTGAGACTTCAGGCACAAAAGAGGTCTCAATAAATTTTTTGTTGACATGATAAAATGTGTTAAAACACTTTCTCATGTCAATACCAAATGAGCAAAATATAAGTATCATGTAATGCTAATAGACAATTATTTATTTGTTTATTTTGTCTGGAGGGGGTACTTATTTTTGTCAACAGTCAAAAGTCAGGTAACAAATATTTACTGAAAGCTTACTGCAAGGCAGTAACTATTCTGGTAATCATACTTAAGAAAGAATCATGGGTCTGGGCACAGCAGCTCACGCCTGTAATCCCAGTGCTTTGAGAGGCCGAGGTGGGTGGACCACCTGAGGTCAGGAGTTTGAGACCAGCCTGACCAAACTGGTGAAACTCCATCTCCACTAAAAATACAAAAGTAGCCCAGTGTGGTGGCACATGCCTGTAATCCCACCTACTCAGGAGGCTGAGGCAGGAGAATCACTTAAACCTGGGAGGCGGAGGTTGCAGTGAGCTGAGATTGTGCTACTGCACTCCAGTTTGGGAGGCAGAGTGAGACCCCTTCTCAAAAACAAAGAAAGAAAGAAAGAAAATAAAGAACCATGGGGCTGGCACAGTGGCTCCTGCCTGGAGAGGAAAAAATAAACTTGATAAACCTCTAGCAATAATGACACAGATTAACAGAGACAAGACAAAAATCATCAATGCCAGCAATGGCACAGGAAATATCATTGCAGATTCCACAGCCATTAAAAGGAAAATAAGGCCAGGTATGGTGGCTTACACCTATAATCCCAGCACTTTGGAAGGCTGAGGCGGGTGAATCCCTTTAGCCCAAGAGTTCGAGAACAGCCTGGGCAACATGGTGAAACCCTGTCTCTACAAAAAATACAAAAATTAGATGGAAGTGGTGGCACATGCCTGTAGTCCCAGCTACTTGGAAGGCTGAGATGGAGGGATCGATTGGGTCTGGGAGGTCAAAGCTGCAGTGAGCCATGATTGTGCCACTGCACTCTAGTCTAGGTGACAGAGTGAGACCCTGCAAAACAAGAAAGAAAGAGAGAGAGAGAGAGAGAGAGGAAGGAAAGAAGGAAGCAAGCAAGGAAGGAAGGAAGGAAGGAAGGGAAGGAAACAAATAAATAAGGAATACTACTGCATTAGTCAGGGATATATATATATATGCACATATATATATTTATATATATTTTAGAAAATATGTGATTATGGAGGCTGGTAAGTCTAAAATTTGCAAGCTGGGCTGTCAGGCTAGAAACCCAGAGGAGACCTGATGCTATAGTTTGGCCCAGAATCTACAAAGAACTCAAACAAATTTACAAGAAAAAAACAACCCCACCGAAAAGTGGGCAAAGGATATGAACAGACAGTTCTCAAAAGAAGACATTTATGCAGCCAACAGACACATGAAAAATGCTCATATCACTGGTCATCAGAAAAATGCAAATCAAAAGCACAATGAGATACCATCTCATGCCAGTTAGAATGGCAATCATTAAAAAGTCAGGAAACAACAGCTGCTGGAGATGATGTGGAGAAACAGGAACACTTTTACACTGTTGGTGGGAGTGTAAATTAGTTCGACCATTGTGGAAGACAGTGTGGCAATTCCTCAAGGATCTAGAACTAGAATTACCATTTGACCCAGCCATCCCATTACTGGGTATATACCCAAAGGATTATAAATCATGCTACTATAAAGACACATGCACACTTATGTTTATTGCGGCACTATTCACAATAGCAAAGACTTGGAACCAACCCAGATGTCCATCAATAATAGACTGGATTAAGAAAATGTGGCACATATACACCATGGAATACTATGCAGCCATAACAAAGGATGAGTTCATGTCTTTTGCAGGGTCATGGATGAAGCTGGAAACCATCATTGTCAGCAAACTATTGCAAGGACAGAAAACCAAACACCACATGTTCTCACTCATAGGTGGGAATTGAACAATGAGCTCACTTGGACACAGGGCGGGGAACATCACACACCAGGGCCTGTCGTGGGGGTGGGGACCTGGGGGAGGGATAGCATTAGGAGAAATACCTAACGTAAATGACGAGTTGATGTGTGCAGCAAACCAACATGGCACATGTATACCTATGTATCAAACCTGCACGTTATGCACATGTACCCTAGAACTTAAAGTATAATAAAAAAAAATAAATAAAAGATTATATACCATGACCAAGTGAGATTTATCCAACATACACAAGGCTGGTTCTCAAATTCAAAAATAAATCAATGTAATCCACCATATCAACAGGCTAAGGAGAAAAATCACATGATCATCTCAATTGAGGCAAAAAAGGCATATGACAAAATATAACGCCCACTCATTTAAAACAAACAAACAAAAAACCTCTTAGCAAACTAGGAATAGAGGAATACTTCCTCAACATGATAAAGAGTATCTATTAAAAAAAGAAACCCTACAGTTAACATCATACTTCACAGTAAAAGACTGAATGTTTCCTTTAAGATCAGAAACAAAGAAAGATGTCCACTTTTATTCTCTTATTCAACATAGTACTGGAAGTTCTAGACACTGCAATGGGACAACAAAAAATACTAAAATCCATACAAATTGAAAATGAAGAACAAAATCTGTTCTTATGTGCAATGGTATGATTATCTGTGTAGAAAATTCCAGGGAATCTACAAAACTAAAACTAAAACTCCTAGAGCTAAGAGTGGTTGCAGAAAACACGATGGTATAGTTTGAATCGTTGTCCCTGCCCAAATCTCACATTAACTTGTAATCTTCAGTGTTGGAGGTGAGGCCTAGTGGGAGGTGGTTGGATCATGGGAGTGGGCTCCTCACAAATGGCTTGGGCCAGCCTCTTGGAATAAATGAGCACTCTCTGAGCTCGCCAGTGATCACCTGAGATCTGGTATTTTTAAGGTGTGTGGCACGTCTCCCCTCCACCGATTCCTGCCCTCTCTTGCTCCTGCTTTTGCCATGTGAAGTGCCTGCTCCAACTTTACCTCCCACAATGACTGTAAGCTTCTTGAGGCCTCCCCAGAAGCTGATGCAGGAGCTGTGTGCGTCCTAGAGTCTGCAGAACTGTGAGCCAATTAAGCCTCTTTTCTTTATAAATTACTGGTCTGCGGTATTTCTTTATAGCAATGCAAGAACTGTCTAATACATAAGATCAACACATAAATATCAATCATATTTATACATGCAGTAGCTCCCCTTT